TAAAACTTACAAGAGAGGGATTTTGCAACACTTTAGAAATATCTGAAGACTTAAAAAGATTGTTATACTTTAATATCTTTATATATTATTCAACGAAGGGGTTAAAGTAATTGTCGATGAAGAAGAAGAATTAAAAGTTCTGAACCGGATAACTGAATATTCTATTTTTCCAAGCAAAAGTAGAAAATAAAGTAAATCTATTAGTTAAATAGAAAATACCTACAAAGAAAAAGTTTATGAATTTTGTGAAAATTTAACAAAAGACTACATTACTCACCTAGAATATTTACCACCGAAAGAAAGATCAGAATTGCTTTATAAGAAAACTTTAACTTTTTACGAGATAGAAACAAGGACTCAGCACTTATTACATTTCTTAAAAGAAATAATACTAAAGAAAATAACTGACAATTTCTGGAAAAAGGAAAGAAAACCCTTAAAAATAAATAACACATATGAATCAAAAGAATATTCTATTTGGCTTAAAAACGCCCAAACCTTATATTTAGATTATACTGAAATCTATTCACTGGATAAAGACCCTGAAGAAATTGCAAAAACTAAAATATTAGGGTTAGAATTTAAAAGAAAACATTACCATAAGCAATACTATAACAGAGTTTATAATATAATAAAAATACTCATACCAGAAAGTGACTTAGGACAATATCACGGAGAACAGTGTTTGATACCTACAACGACACAATTATTGAAAGGAACATATTATAAGGATCTACAGAGATACCATGACCTACAAGAATCCAAAGTTAATGATAACTGAAATAAAAGTCCAAACTTATATTAACTTATTAAAACATGTCCAAACACTAGAAAATTACATTACAACCCTCAAAGAAATTCAAAGTTGCTCCAATCTAAAGAAGAAAAACAAAACTATCAAAATTGCATACCAGGAATTAGCAATTAACGCTACAAGCATTGAAATATATTTAAAAACTTTACAAGCATATTGCTTAACATTAGCGCAAGAAATTGCCAATGAATAATCTATCATATTCAAATAAAGAAATAGAAGTTTATAAAACAAAATTGGAATCAATATACAAAACTCTTATTGAACCAGAAAAAGTACCAACTGAGGATATAGTAATAAACACACCGATATCATCTCCAATATCGAAAAGAGTGAAGAAGAATTAGTAACGGCATATTCTGGCAAACCAGTTAAAATTAATTATTATAGTGTTAGCTTTAAAAAACACCAAATATTATGACACCTAGATTGGAGAATTGAGAAATTATTCAATAATAATATACTAGTTCTATCTGAAATGAATTCGATTTCAATAATCAAATCACAAATAACTGCAAAAATATGACTCATACAATTATCTGAAGAACCAGTATTTAGTAAATTTATAGTATGAATAATATCTACAGCAAAAGGACATTTCAAAAGGATTTCAGATATACAACGAAATCAGGTATTCGTATTATTTGATAAGGACGCATATCCTTATTCACAACTGAGAGAAGAAATCTCAGAAATAGAACATTTTGTAGTAAATTTAACAACTACAGAACCAAACCAAGTACTTATACACCAAGGAACATTTATAGAAAACAAAGAGCTCGAGAAAACCACAACCAAACTACGAGTATCATTATAAATAAAGATTTTTATATTATCACTTTATTGGATAATTTCAACTATACAATAGATCAATCTGAAGCTCATATTTGGCATGAGTTTTCATATATGCAAGGAAACGATCTTGTTCATTATAAATAAAAAATATTAAACTTGAAAAGAAATTAAAAAAGAAGTTACGACACATACAACAGCAATATTACCAAGAATCAATATTCAAAGAAACCAACTTTAAAGTATTGGATAATTGGAAAAAACTTGAAGAATGATTAAGAAAAGATTTGGAAGCAATTGAAAAGATCACATACTTCAATATTAAACATATCACCCAAAGTATTAAACAAAATAAACAAATCAAAATTGATGACTGAAGTGAAACCAAAGAAAAAGTACAATTTTGATAAAACAGCCAAAAGGTGTTGCAAGTGTAGAACACCTAATGGGACTTATTCTATAAATAATAAAACTGGAACCATAAATAAAACCTGTGACAAGTGCAGAGAAGGAATATGACGATTCTACCAGAAACAATCAGTAGAAATAATAACTGATAAAAAAGGGAAATTCTCATTTAAGTATTTAATACGCTGCTCAACCTGCGCGAAACTACAGGAACAATTTGCTTTTATCAAGAAATCAAAAAGATTGAAAACCTGTTTCAATTGCAGAAATAATTTTAGAAGATACGAACCCGTGAAAAGAATTACTGAATTAGGAACTACCGAAAAACATTGTCCAAAGTGTGGACATTACAGAAAATTAGAAGAATACTCAAAATATTCGAAGAAATACAACAAAGATATAGAACTACAACATTGCAAAAATTGTAACCGTAGAGAAACTTTAAATGCACAAAGACAAACTGAAGAGGAATTTTAATTACAAAAGAAACTGAAATTACTAAAAGAAAAGGAATTGTTAGAAGAAGAAATTTATAACTTGGAGTTTGTAAGGTTCACAGTACAACAGTTAAACAAAGAAGATAAAGCAATTACCGCTGTATAACGATCTGCAATATGGAATGACATAGAAATGTACTAGTTGCAACGAATTCCAAGAAATGGAACAGTATAAAGAAATTGAAAATGACTAAGAAATTTATTACGATAATTGCAGTACATGCCGGAAATTAGAATTTTTGGCACAATCTTTAATACACCATTTAGAATTACCAGAACAAAGAATTATACAAACTGCACCATTTAGATATCACCCAGAAAAAAGATATCAAATATGATTATCTAAAAGAATTAATCCAAAGAAAGTTTTTTAGAACCATTATCAAGGATATGGAGGAAAAGGAGAATTGGATGAAAACGGAAGACCATGCGAAAGTGATGAATATATGGCAATAAGAGAAGGCTTGGAAGAAGCCAATATCTTGATGAAAAAAGAATTACTTATCAAAGTATGGACCGAATTTAAACCAAGCTCACAAGAATGGGTAGCAGAGAAATACTGCTCACCAACAGAAGCCAAATACAAGATACGAAGAACTGTATTTATTTATCCATGTAACATATTCCAAAAATTGAACAATGTGAACCAGAAGAAGCAACACCATGGGAATGGTATACTTACGATGAAGTAAAGGAACTAACCCTCATACCAATGATCAAACAACCACTAGAATTAATATTCGACGGAATACACCAATATTTTGTTAAAATGCAAGAAGTACAACAAGAAGAACAACTTGCTGATGATTATATAAATTATGAAGCTAAGTACCCCTACAAAGAAATAGAAAGCTTAACAGATGAGAACGAAATTCAGGAAAGACTACCAGTAATGACAGACCACGAATTTATTACTCATCATAAACAAGTAGAAACCACACCAAGAATTGAGATTCTACAGATAGAAAAATACAAAAAACAACTTGAATACGAAAAAGGGCCAGATACAAAATAAAATCAATAGAGTCAATCGACTCCTGAACGGCCACTATAATTATAATATTTAGCAGCATTCCGACCTCAAGATAGAATGCATGCATCCAAAATATTGAAGGAAAGTCCGACACTTAAGAAAATATCGGATTCCGGACTAATGGAACTATTGAAAAATCAGGACTTTGTTTACTCACTTTTGAAACCTAAAACAAAGAAGGAACAATACCAATTAAAGATTCGGCAGATTAAAGATAATGTACAATATGACCAAAATACCGAATTGTTTGGAACAATTGACCAAATATTTATTGAGCATCCAAACATACCATTAGTATGACCAACACTACGAATTCATAGCAAATGGCAATGTTTGATCCGGACATGTAGATCGATGTGTAAGCCGATCCATTCTATTCAGCAAAGCTTTCATTCGTACCTTATTGTTTATATTACGCATGTTCTTTAATTATCTAAATTTATTCCGAAATTCATTGGAATTCATTAGCCATTTAGATTATTTAACTATTTATAGTAGATTCATTCTATTCAGCTTAACCCGTTGTAGCATGTGAGAATATTACAACGAAAACAAATATGCATTAATTGTATAAATAGCATGCAACTTTATCGTTATCAATCTAACGTAGAATTTAGTAATTAATTTAAATGGTTATCATTAATGAATTAGGTGCGTATGTTCCTACCGGTACGTACAGTACAAACATACATACAGATATCAAAAAGATTTTCATAGCATTAACTTATTTTTGAGAATTTGCGCAACAAAGGTCGTTAAATATTTGCAGTTGTTAATCGAAATTGCACCCTATTCATTATTAATATCTCTTCTCAAGGCTAAGAAAAGAAATTAAGCATTTTTGAATGTTAAATATTAATAAATCCACTTTTTTTCTTTTTAACCTTAATTACAGAATTACGCAATTCAAAACATCTGATAAGTATAAAAAAAATAGTATCACAGAAAATCTGATAAGCACAAAAAATCTGATATGTGTAACAGAAAAATCTGATAAGCACATGTCACAAAAAAATCTGATAACATTATCACAATGTGTCACCAAAAATTTGGTAACTGGTGTTACCGTTACGTATTCTCCATTAGGTTTTTGACGACAATTACGTAATACAGCCAGACCTTTCTAGGTGCACGCCCTTGGAACTATACTTTAATAACGTGCATATAGAGAATAATAAGAAAAAGTGAATTTACAGAGGTCAAGTATATATATGAGCTAGCACTTGAGCGTGCATTTAGAGAGGGTGTGCACTTATAGAAGGTTCACTTAGAGAGGTTTGACTGCAGTAGTATTCTTGTCAAAATTTACACACATCTGTTATTTAAACAGGATAGTTTCACAAATTATTTGCATGTGGATTGGTACGTATCTTTGTAACGCGCTGACGGTAAGCTATATACAATTTTACTTTATATACGCTTGTATTTTTTTTTCATGAAAATTCATTGATCAAAAATGATTTTAAAGAATATTTCATCTCTGGTCTTTCGTTTAGTTTTAATATTTTTATTACTTACAAATGTATCATTTTCATCCCCAAGGAACATTTCTCCTTACACTAAATCTTTAAACAAAAGAGATAGTAAAAAAGTTTATAATCTTACTATCTCTGAAGAAAAATTAGCTCCTGATGGTTTTACTCGAGAAATGTTCGCTATAAATGGTCAATTTCCTGGTCCTCTAGTTGAAGTTAATAAAGGTGATACGTTAGTTTTCAATGTCTATAATGATTTAAATGATGAGACTTCGATCCATTCTCATGGAATGTTTCAACGCGGGACTCCTTGGTATGATGGTGTTCCCGGGCATACTCAGTGTGGTATTCCATCAAAGAAAACCTTCACCTACGAATTTAAAGTTGATCAAAGTGGGACTTATTGGTAGTAAGTTATCTTTCTTTTTTTTTTCATAAATAATTACTCATATGAACTGACAAATATATGCTATATGACGTCAAAAAAACATTAACTTTTTTTTTTTAAAAAAAAAACAGCCACTCGCATTCAAAAGCACAATATATAGATGGAATTGTTGGTCCCCTTATAGCTCACGATCCAGATGATCCTTATCTTGAAGAGTATGATGAAGAAATTGTAGTATTGTTACAAGATTGGTACCATACTGATGCTAAAACCTTGTTGCCTCAATTCTTGAGTCCTGTAAGTCAAGGAAATGAACCAACACCCGATAATGGTCTGATTAATGGAAAGAACTCTTATAATTGTTCTTGGGCATCAGAAGGCAGCAATTGCGTTAGTAATGCATCATTGGCAAAATTCAAATTTGTTCAAGGAAAGAAATACAGAATTAGAATTATTAATACAAGGTTAAAAAAATTGTTTTTTGATTATCGGCATAGTTTATTTATTTATTTATATTAATTACTTATTTATTTATATTAATTACTTATTTATTTATTATTAATAGTGCTTTCACAGAATTTATCTTTTCAATTGATGAGCATCCTATGGATGTTATTGAAGTTGAAGGGATGATGACAAAACGTCAAACAATCCACCGTCTCCCAATTAATATAGCTCAACGCTATTCAGTTATTGTGACAGCCGATAAACCTATAGGAAAATATTGGATGCGTGCAGAAATGGAAACTGCTTGTTTTGCCAATGAACCTAATACACTAAATTCTCTCGTAAAAGCTACTGTTAAATATGAAGATTGTGACGATAATGATAATACAAATTCGACTGCTTGGACTGATAGTCAAGAAACTTGTATTGATTTGGATACATCAAGTTTAATACCTTATCAAGAACAAACTATTCCAAATGTTGACTATAAGTTAACATTAAATGTCAGTTTTTATCCAGATGCTACAGGTGTCGTCATAGCACACATAAATGATTCAAGTTATGTAATAAATGAACAATACCCTACACTTCAGAAAGTATATGATAATGTAACGAAATTTGCAACTGATCAAAATGTTTACATAATCGATAAAGATGAAGTTGTCGATATTATTTTGTTAAGTAAGAATAATATAAAAACAAATTTCTTTATTTTTATAAACATTCAAATTCATTTATATATTATTATTTTTTAAATTCCTGAATTTAGACAGTGACACTGGTGAACATCCATTCCATCTGGTATATAAAATACACTTGAAAAAGAAATACTATTTAATATTACTTAACTACTACTAATAATAAGAAATTGGTTGAAATTAATACTAGCACGGTCATGTATTCTGGTTACTTGGTGTCGGTAAAAATGGTACAAGTCCAGATTATGATTCTGTAAATACTAAAAATCCGATACAACGTGATACTGCATCTGTTCCTGCTGGAGGGTACGTTAATTATTAGTTTCTTATTTTGAATCTAGCAGATTTGACTTAATAGTTCTTTTATTTTCCTCTATCAGATGGCTCATCGCTCGATTTGTGTCAGATAACCCTGGTGTATGGGGATATCACTGTCATATCGAGGTAATTTAATAATCTTCATAATCATTTTAACATTATTCACAAATGTATTGATATTAAGTTATGTTTTTAGTGGCATATGCAATCGGGTTTAGTTATGGCATTCGTCGCGCAACCGGATAAAATTAAAAAATTAAAAGCACCTGATGATTGGAAAGAATTGTGTAAATAATAAATGGTAAATAGTAAGCTCGGTTAATTGGTTTAATGTGTAATAAAATTTAAAAATTGTATTAGTACACGTACTTAATGTATAGTAAAATGATTTTTAAGGCTATTTTGTTAACCAACTTAATTAAATTTATTAACTATCTTTAGTTTTTAGTCAACTAAATTAAGCTACTTTGCTAATTATTGTATTTTAGTTCTTAACCAACTCAATTAAGCTATTGTATCTTTAGTTTTTAACCAACTCAATTTATTTATATTGACAATATATTTGACCTTTCATTTTATACACTCGTATATTCATATTATAAATCATTTGTTCAGTGCACATATTATAAACAATTATATTAAGTACCAATTAAATTACACATTTTTATGACTATGAATGTTGCGACTACGATATTCCAAAATTATTTTACTATTATTATAATTATTATTCGAACAATAATAAATATTGGGTGAGTTCTCTGAGTAGTGATGCCGTAAAATGCTGTAATAACTACCCGGATTGCTATTAAAAACTATTATAATACATTCTCGATATATTTGTGAAAATAATAAAAAAATCGGGATGTTACTTAATAATTTTCTAGGTTGATAATGCACCTAATTAGATGTAAATTCCTCCTGATAAAAATCACGTGAGAGTTGAGCTAGGGTATTATTAAATGATCATTGATGAAATCTACGATTGATTTGATTAAATCATTGATTGGATTATTTTTTTTACAAAGATACTCTATGCATGTTGGATAATTCATTTATTAATTGCTTAAAAAGTATTGTTAAATTATTAATAATTTTGCATTTTTAATCGTTAATAACAATTCATAATTAATTCCCATCACTAATCTAAAGATAACATTTTAGGTAATATAAGTTAAAAAAATTCGACGAGAAAATAAATTATTGAATATCAAGAAAACCGGCTAACAAATCCCAGAGAAGAAACTATTTAATAAGTCTGAAGTGCCAAATAGCATATAAACATAATCTTCCGGCTCTTTGAAAATTTTTTATACTATGCTCCTGCTTCTCCTCTTGATCTGAAGATATGATCGCTCGATCAATCAATAAATAACGATAAACAATATAAAACGTCTTATTCCCCGAGTAACTTACTTATACCGAACTTAGAATAGCCCAAATCAGGCCTACTATAATCATACTAATCTAAATTAGTCCAAAAATAACCAAACTAACTAGAAATGAGATCAAAAAACACAAAATATCGAATTAACGTTAATCGTATCAGAGCTCAAATGGACCCGTATTATATTTTGCTCTCCCAATTGATAATAACACTATATGAACAATGTCGAGGAAAAATTTACAAGTCATGCTTTTTTCATATTTACTTTACTAAAAATATTTTAAAATTAATTAAACACAAGATTTTAATATTATTTCATTAAGACGATTCAAATGATATTGTAAATAGTAAAGTACTAAATTGTCTGATTTTAAGATATTATTATTAGAGTAAATTTCAAAAAGTATAACTTGTAGATTTCCTTGGCAACACACATATATAATTTTACTTTATATACGCATGCTTTTTTTTTTATGAAAATTCATTAATTTTATTCAAGAATGATTTCAAGGAATATTTTATCTTTGGTTTTTCTTTTAACTTTAATATTTTTATTACTTCTGAATGTAGCACTTTCTTTTCCAAGAAATTTTCTTTATCTAACTCTTTAAACAAAAGAGTTAATAAAAAGTTTATAATCTTACTATCCCTATGAAAACTCGATACACAGAAATGCACGCATAAATACGAAATTGTACGCGGGTAAGCACGGGTTTCGTGATCACTGCACGGAAACTGATCATCCAAAAATTTAATACGCGTTATCACACGAAAAATTGAAATTCGTGCACTATCGTGCACAGTATTATAACGTGTATTAATCTTAATGACCACATAATTTCCGTGCACTAACGTGCACGATCGTTAAGATTCTTAATGATTGTGCATGTTAGTGCATGGAAGTCAAGAATCTTAACAATTGTGCATGTCAGTGCACGAAAATTATGATCGTTAAGAATCTTAACGATTGTGATGATCGTGACATCAGTGCACTGAAATTATGATCGTTAATATTATTGATCATAATTTCAGTGCAACGTGATGATAATTAAGATTCTTAACGATCATAATTTCTGTGCATTGACGCGCACAAATCATTCATTCTGCGAATAAATAAATATTGTTTTCAATCTGAGTAAATAAATATTCATTTCTTTATTTTTATTTTGTTTATGCTTGTACTTTTTATTATTTTCTTTTAATTTTTTTTTTTTACAACTAACAAATTTTATATTGTTTTGAAGTTATTCTTTAGAGTCATTCACTTGGAATTTGCTCCTTTAGAATTACTATTATTTTTGGTTTATGTTTTACATAACTTTGTTTTTTCTTTTATTTTTTTTAAAATTTTTTTTATTCGCTTTCTATATATTATTTCTATTTTTTAGTATCTTCTTTGAGTTACTGCTATTGAAGTTGTTACAATTGAAGTTAGCATTATTGAAGTTATTGCTAAGTAGTCATTTTGATTTTTTTTTTTTTTTTAAACCTTTCATTTTGGTACTATTTTTTTTTTTTTTGATAAATTTGGCAATCTTGTCAACACTTTATTAGTATAATATACAAGCTCACAGAGGAATATAATATATTAACTGAAGTCTATCTAATTTCTTTAAGTATTTGCTAACCCAACTCTTTGCAATACCAAGGGTGTCCAAATTGCCCATGTTCAATTTGCTATGGTAAAGTTTATCTTCATAATAATTACTCTGTAACTAGATATTTCAATACTTCCTTAAATTGATTTATGGCCTATCAAGATCATTTCCTTTTTTAACCTTCTTTTTCTAGCTTTCTGAAAGAAGGATTCATAGTCTCCAATTGACTTATGAAAAAAAATACTAAAACTAAACAAAAAAAAAAGGAAAAACAAAAGAGAAAAAGTAAAAAGTGCCAAAGCAAAAAGAAAACGAATAATAAAAGACAAATAAAAGAAGAAAAAAAAAGCAGAAAAGAAAGTAATCTATGATAACACTATTATAGCCCATGCCAGGCATAAGTTGTAAAAATTATATACTAAATTTAAATTTTATATATCTCTAATATAAAGCTAAGCCTTATTGTTAAATTTTCTTCCAACTTTTAATTCCAAGGTTCATCCAAAACTCTTAATTGAAGCACTGATATTATGTTATATAGTGTAGAGTTACTATTAAAACAAATACACGTGAGTTTGCCAATCCTTTGTTGTGCCCTACTAAGCCCATCTAAAAAAGAAAAGTAAACAAATGCTGATCTTTTAGAGAGAGTAAGCTTGAATGCCCAATTTTGTTGAAAATTTTGGTGAGATTGGCAAGAGGCAGTATAGGTGAAAAAAAACCACTAGTTCCAAACCAAAGAAGTGTGTATAATTTTCTTGCAAAATATACCAGTGACATTTTGATCGAGTGAAGAGCAAGTATTTAAAAAAACATTAACGAGTAAGTGATAAACTCTAGGCTTGTTAGCAAGTAGCATATGAGAACTACTTCTAAATGATAAGTGCTCTCTGTTACTATAGTGAGTAATAGACTCTAAATATGTTAGCAAGTAAACTACTTCTAAATAACAGGTGCTGAGATTCTCTAACTTATCTTACTATTACTTTTTCAACTAGTTATAATGTATTTATTAAGTAAAGTATAAGAAAAATTTAAACAAATAATCATTGAAAAGAGTTCTATTTTGGTATTATTGTTTTACTTTGGTTTTTTTTTTTTTTAGCGATTATGCTACATGCCCATGCTTTATTAATCATTAATTTAATCCGAAGAAAAAAGAATACATCCAAAGATACAGGTATGTAACTTATCCGGTTATCTATATAGAATATATAATTATTCATGCACCTGTGTGTGATCTGCAAAAGATGATTTTAATCTTCCCAGTTTGGTTCAACCTACATCAAGCCGACCTGCCCTGGTTCACTGACCTGGTTCATCAGCCTATTATGACTACCTTCTTTTCCAACCTTCTTCTTCTAGCCTCCTAAATAGAAAAATTCTACCAAAGAACAACAAGAAATTTACGAAATAAAAGGAATACTAAAAAAGGGAGAAAATCTAAACTAAATGAAAACAAAAAAAACAAACAAAAGAAAAAAAGAGAAAAGGAAAAAAAGGCTGAAAAAAAACGGCCATGATGGCACTATTTTTGCCTATACAAGGCTATATAAATTATATAATGTTGTATAGAATAAAATCTAATCCAACACTATATATAATAATAGAAATGGAAAAGAAAATAAAAGAAAACGTTTAATATTAAGAAATTTTTATACATGATCTCTCTGATCTTCTATACTGTAAACAGTACTGCTATTATTATTTATTTGGCAAAGCATAATCCAAATAAGCTTGTGGAAGGTTCTATTTTGGTAGACGTATTCTAATTTAGAAGGAGTAAACACTGCCGATCTTTTAAACAGGGTACGCCAGTTTTCCCACTTTTTGGCCAAAATTTCAAAAAAAATTCAAAATAGCGAAAATATAATAAAAGGTCTTTGGTTGCAGGTACTTTCAAAACTTCTAAAGAGTGTGTTAAAATCCAAAACTTTTGTTGTTTCCCTTGTGTTTTTCTTTGAAGTAACAGCCTAGAGCTTCATCGACGAAGTAGCAGCCTACTATGTAACTTACTCCCTTCACCAAGATTTTTTATACAAGGGCACTAGAGCGTCAAGCCCTGCTAGTTATCTTGTATAGTTGTACCTGAGTTATATTTCCACTGGGTTATATCCCCTCTTATTTATTACCTTAGTTATATCTCCATATTTAGACAGAATAAATTTCTTTTTTTTATATATTTTATATATTGAGTTATATCTCAACCTTAGTTATATCTCCAAAAAATTCAAAAACATATAGAGACAAAAAGGGGTGATATAACCCAAATACAACTGTATTTATACTTCTTATAATTTTATCTATTCAGAAAAAGTGTCAAAAAATTTTGTCTTTTAAGTAAAATAAGTCAAAAACAATTTCATTTTCAAATTTTAATTTTGGGTTTTAGAACCCGAAATAGTTTTGTTAGCATGTATACAAGAGGTAGAAATTTATAAATTTGTTGCTATAATCACTGATAATGCTCCAAATATGAAGGCAGCATGAAAATTCTTAATAGAAAATATCTATTAAAAATTTTTTTGGAATGCTGGGCGCATATAATTAATTTGTAGATTAAAGATATCCTAAAATCAAATAGGCAAAATCAATTTTAGAAAAATGTAAAAAAATTATATCAAATTTTAGATCACATTATATTAGGAAAATAAATATAGTGCAGATCTGCAAATATCTGTAACTATGGAATTTTTTATTAAAATTTGGGATATTACATGATATAGTGCTCCAAATTTAACAAAACAAGTACCATTTAATTCATCTTGATGAGGTGGATTGAATTGTATCAAAACTATTAAATTTCAATCATTGGGGCGTGAGATAATTTGGTTTAAGTGAATTTTACAACCACCTTATAATCTCATTAACTAGTAGTCTAAATTTTATTATTTTGGTACCATTTGATTCCTTGTAATGAGACAGTTTAAATGGTATTGAAAACATTAAAATCAAATCACTGGATATCGAGATATATACAAAATATGGTTTGTTGCGCAGTTTTGCACAGAACTGCAATTTTTTTGCAAAACTGTGCAGAACTGTGCTGCAAACAGTAGTTTGTGTATATCTTAATATCTAGTAATCTGATTTTAACAATTTCAATACCATTCGAACTGTCTCATCAAGAGAAATTGAATAGTGCCAAAATAATGAAATTTGAACTACTGGTTAGTGAGATTGTAAGATGGTTGTAAAATTCACTAAAACTTGATTATCTCATATCACAATGATCAAATTTTAATGATTTTAGTACTATTTGATCTGACTTATCAAGATGAATTGAATAGTACTTGTTTTATTAAATTTGGAGTGCTATGTCACAAGATATCCCAAATTTTGATAAAAATTCTATGGTCACAAATCTTTGCAGATCTGCAACATATTTATTTTCCTGATGTAAACTATTTTGGCAGTTATTCGTTGTCTTCAATTGAAAAGTATAAAAAGCAAATTGTATTAGTTTCATTATTGAAACATATTAGGGTTCTGCTTTTGAATATATAGATCATCTTTTACAAACAAAATTAGCAATAAAATCTATTTTAGCTAAAAAAAATCTAAGAATTGATAGCCATATTCAAGTTTTAATTATTGATGTAATTTTTAGAAAGAGCTTAAATGTTTTTGTGACTTATTAAAGCCATTAGTAATGTTTATTCATTTTTTAAACCAGGATAATCTTTTACTTTCAATTGTATATATTAATTTACCAAATATAAGAATACGTATACATAATAATCAGCTAGTTTCTAAAACTATTTGTGAAGAAATTTTGCAGTTAGAACACAAATAATGGACTGATTTCTTATTTAAACCAGCATTTTAGTTGTATATAAATTGGATCCATGATATTGAGATGAAAAGCTTAATCCATATAAATAAGATCATATTATAGAAAAAAAATTATATAGCTAGCTGAATTAGAAAATTAAAATAAAGTTTTATTAGAATTTGCAGAATATGTTAGTAAAACTAGTGAATTTGCAAGGCCCTATTTGTGGAGTGCTATAAAAGAAGATCCTCAAAGTTGGTAGAATTTAGTAAATGCCCGATATCAAATTTTAGTTCTGTTGCTTCTAAGGTTCTTTCTATTCCAGCAACCTCAAGCTGCAAGTGAATGAAATTGGGCATCATTTAGCTTTATTTACTTAAAATTGCACAATAGATTATATAATAATTGAGTAGAAAAAATTGTTTTTATTTATTGGAATCTTTGAATATTAAGAACTTTAAATTGGCCCTTATTAGTAAGTGATTTAAAGACGATTGTACTATTATTGAAAAAGAGGTTAGTAAAGATATGATAAATAATAAGAAAATCGATACTAGTAGAAATTTAATATTTGATGATGGAGAATAGATGTTGAATAATGATATATTATTTGATTATAATGAAGAAAACTTTAAAAGATTTCCTAAAGAAGATTTTAAAAACTGCTTAGAGAAAAATTTTAATAAAAACTCTAAACAAGATTTTAAACAATTCAAAGAAAAATATTATATAAATTTAGAAAAATACTCAGAAAAAGATTTCGATAAAAGTAGCTTTATTAAAATTGATGATTAAAGTATTACTATGAATTATTATAAAAAATTTAGTAGTACTGTTTATTTTTTTTTATTTTTTTATTTTTTTTGTGTCAATATTAGAAGCTTTATAAAATATAAAATAACTCGATACAATATTTACATCTTATAATACATAGTTAGGATCTGTTAAAGAATTCTAAAGCACTTGTGCTACTAAAACTAAAAAGAATTTAGGCACCCAGCATGACACTACATCTCTATTTTATCTAACTTTTAAACCCAAAGATAATATTAATATTAATAAGGATTTTAAAAGCGAATTTGGTAAGAGAAAACCTATAAGAATAATGAAGTTGAAAGTGAAAAAAGATTAAAAGAAAGTTAAATAGTAGTTTTAAAATAGTTGTTTGTAATAAAAATAGAGTTTGGAAAGAAAGTATAGTTGTTTGAATTTAAATAAAAAAAAATTCATCAATATTATCAGTATTTTGAATTTGAATTTAAATTTGAATTTGAATTTGAATTTGAGTAGAAAAAAGATTATTAGTTATATTTAAAGAAGTAAATTTAAATTTTTGAGTAATAAATTTTTCTGCTTACTAAAGATATAATTGTTTGAGATTTAGTTTTAATTGAGAGATTGTTGGTTTTTTTGAGAATTATATAATATCATAGTAAGCTATAATTCTAGTTAGGATTTGCGAGTCAGCTGATAAGGTTATAAATTTGTATAGAGCTTCTATAAGATTAAGTCCTATAATTTTGTCACTGTATGCTGCTGCTTTTAAATAGGCCTTGAAATAAGAGTAGAAAAAGAAAGAAGTATGTTTGGAATTAGTTGGTGTTTGATTTAATTGAATAAATTTTTGTTCTTCTTCAGATTATAGAATTTTTCAAAAGGAAAAGGTGTATTAAAAGTAGCTTTATAAAGTTGATTGGTTTGAAGAATAGAGAAGTTGAGATTTGGAAAAGTATAATAAGTAACTGGTGATAGTTGGAAAGATTGTTTAAAGTAAAGGGTAGTTAAATTATGGAGATTATGAGTAGTTCTAGAGTTTAAGATTTTGCATTTTTTGTTGTTTGTACAGTTATACAAATAATGTAGAGCTGCTTTGATAGAGGTTTGAGTTCGTTCTTTTAAAGTAAAAACTTTAGGAAAAAGAAATTGTTAGGGTAGTAATTTTTTGTATTTACTATTAATTTGAGAAATAATTTGAAATTTGATATAGTTATAAACCTTTTTCTTATTAATATTATTGAATTGTATAGAGTAATGTTTGTAGAATTTGTTAAACCATGTATCAAATTGTATAAGGAATAAAGAAAAGGAGGGAATATAGTAAGTGTTTAAAAATTTTTTGATAAGATATTAAGAGTTATATTAATATAGAATTTACGATTGTTTTTAATTTGAAAAGAAGGTAAATTTTCTTGATTATGTTTTATATGAAAGTGTATTTGTAGTTCAAGAGGTTTAAGATTTAAATCTTGAAAAAATTTTTTGTAATCGATAGTTTGATATTTGTTTTGTAAAAAGAGATATAATCTTGCTAGATTTATAGCAATTTAGAACCATTTGTTAATTGAATATGGGTAAAAGATATTGGGAATTAAAGAAGTTTTTGTAAATTTGGGATTCAAAAATATATTTGGTAAGGCAAATATTAGTGCTTCAAGTGTAGAGTGTAGTATTTGAGATAGTATTAAATTTTGATCATTTATAGAGGGGTTTTGTTTTA